CTTTGTCCGACAAAGGGGCTGATCCTGTCACTATGATCACCCACTCAGATGAATTCTCAGACTGTCCCAACATACCCAGGTTTTGACCCTCGCTGAGGATCTCACTGATAGGCATATCAAATATAGCCCAATCCGACACTTAGTGAAGTATCATAATCGAGTCTAGGGGTCAGGTGTAACTTTCCAGTTTTGCCCATCTATCTCCAAGGTCCAAGGCAATATTGGAAATCTGGTCCGGTTCAAGGATTCGAGTAATCCCATACTGCATGTGCCTTGGGTCTTACCCTGGTGACCGAGACAGGCCATCCCTACACTTGGTGGCACACTAGTATCAGCCTTGGCAGGATAAATCTCCCCAGACTTATCCAATGGATGTGAACATTTAAAAGTAACACGAGTCTCATTAAGTGTCCAGTTTTAGGGTCTTACWCAGAATCATACCAAACAACAAGAATCAAACATGTACATTTTAGTTTACACTAAATGTCAAAAATACATCAAATCAGATTGAAGCTAAGGGCATACAAAACTGTCTAACACCACTGTCCATGTCTGATTATTTTCAAGTGCCTGTATTTCTTTCTACATTGCATCCCTCCATTTTTCATCTTTTACAGCCTTAGCACGATGTCAACAAGAAAAATTGTTACAGTTCACATAGTTATCTATGGGATAAGGACTACCTACAGAATGTGATTGGCCGAGTGAGCTTGCAAAGGGACGCGGAGAGGGACTCAATCGCTGTGTGGTGTGAAGAACATAATCTCTCAATCTTGTGGACTGCTGTTTTTGTCGATGCCCACGCCTCAAATGAAATTTAGAGTGCTGTTGTTGCTCAACATCGCCACCCCCCCTTATGTCAGGACTATCTTCGCTTGCATTTTCTGTGGTGGCATCACAAGAATGCATGGGTTCACCAGCATTTGCATTCGGGTTTATGCGGGTTCCTTCTTCTACACGGACTCCTTCTTCAGCGAATTCACCTTGCTAGTCAGTCTCCATCTCGCCATTTGCTTGTCCAGGTAAATAAGTGGATGGCACCAACACCTAATTTGTCCCACCTATTCCACAATTAAATTGGTCTTGTGCTTTGTTTGGCTGGGCATCCTCTTTGTGTGCATACGAGAATTCGTGCTATAAAAAGGTAACATCTCTTGATGCAAAGAATATGTCGGACTCTAAATCATACAAGCTCCATCCTTTCTTTCCAAAAGGATGCCCAACAAAAACACACCGTCTGCTTCGACTGACAAATTTATCCCCTCCATGTCCATGATTGTGCGCATATGCTAAGCAACCAAAAACTCGCACATTATCATAGGAAGGAGGTCGCCCAAATAACACTTCATAGGGAGTCTTTCCCTTCAACGGAATGGACGTTGTCCGATTGATCAAATAGCATGTGGTCAAGACACATTCCCCCCAAAAATCAATAGGCAAGCTAGCTCGAAAGCGCAAGGCTCGGGAAACATTGAGGATGTGGCGGTGCTTGCGTTCAACCCTCCCATTTTATTGAGAGGTCCCGACACAAGTGGTTTGATGAATAATACCTTGTTCAGCAAAATAACTAGCCAAGCAAACAAACTCAGTCCCATTATCAGTACGGATCACCTTTACAGGTTTGTTAAATTGCCTTTGAACCATAGCAAAAAAATTTCGAAGAACTCATCCCACTTCCGTCTTATCAACCAGAAGATAAATCCAAAGGCCTCTAGAAAAGTCGTCTACTATGGTCAAAAAATAATGAGCACCACAAGAAGCTGCAGTTCTATAAGGACCCCACAAATCACAATGAATTAACTCAAAAATATCGGATGCTTTATTATTACTGGAAACAAACTCTTCTCGATGTTGTTTAGCTCGGAAGCATACATCACAACCCTTAATACTGTCATCATTATTATTCTTAGTACTAATAAAAGGCAACAGCTTAACAATTCTATAAGAAGGATGCCCTAACCTTTGATGCCAAATATCATACATCCTGCTTTCTGTAATCTTCATTGCTCTTGTTGATGCAATGCTCCAGAAATAATAGAGTCCCTCTCATTGCTTACTTGCTCCAATCAGTATCCTCGTAGTGCGGTCCTGTATCACACAGAATTTATTAGTGAACTGGACAATACAATTCGATTCCTCAACCAATTGCGATATAGAAAGTAAACTGCAATTCAAACTAGGCACATATAAAACACTAGTCAGTTTCAAATGATCGTCCAGTGCAACTATGCCTTCTTTCTCTACTATTGTCGCTTTCCCATCTGATAGCCCGACAGAGCACGGAATGACATTCTTTATGTCTCTCATCAACTCGAGGCTTCCTGTCATATGATGAGAGGCCCCTGTGTCTATTATCCATTCTGAAAATTTTTTCTTACCACTCAGTTGTTGACTCCATTCTTTCTGTGTGTTCAAAATGTTGAGTAACATGTTCCACTGCTCACTACTCAATCCATTTACCCTAGTCTTGGCTGCATCAATCGATTCTCCTTGAGATGCATTGCCCTGCGCAGAGGCTTTGGCTGTATTGGCCTTGACTTGGCCGCCATGACCTTTTCCTCCTGCCCCTACTCCTTGTTTCTATCCACCATGCCCTCGGCCTGTTCAACGAGCATTATTTTTCGGCCGATCACCCCACCATTCAGGGTAGCCGATCAGTTGGAAACAAGACTCTGCATCATGGCCTACCTTGTTGCAGTGAGCACATACCACGTTCTTGTCTCTACCTTCGCTTTGCCTCTTCCCTACATGGGTTGCGAAGGCCACAGCTTCAGTCTTCTCTTCCTTTGCGCGGGTCATGGTTCGAACTTGCTCCTCTTGAATCACTATGACATAGGCTTGATTTAAACTTGGCAAGGGTTCTGTACTCAGTATATGAGAATGCACACCTCCATAGACCGTGTCATCTAGCCCCATAAAAAATTGATGAAGTTTCTCTTCATCTCGTTTCTTATCCCATGCCTTGCTTATGTCATAGCTGCACTTACCACGTTGACAAGTGGGATATTGCTCATAATTTCCCAATTCCTCCCAAATCATCTTGAGTTTGCCATAGTAATTCAGAATCGTCATACCCCTTTGTTCGCAATTCGCCAAATCGGATTTGAGTTGTTGAACTCATGGTCCATTACCCCTTTGTTTGCAACTCCTAGAGCATCTTCGCAATCTCTGTGTATGTTATGGTTGAACGCAAATTAGGTTTAATCGTATTCAGAATCCATGACACAAGCATGGAATTCACCATCCACCAACCTTCCAATTCCACTGAATCGTCCGAAGGTTGTTTCACCGATCCATCGATGAAGCCGAATTTCTTCTTGGCTCACAGCGCCGTTCTTATCGCTCGAGCCCATTCATCATAGTTGTCGCCTCTAAGCTAGATCTATGTGATAATGCTACCTGGATTGTCATTGGTTGATAGTAGGTAGGGCGAGATCACGTTCCTTGTCAATTGACCGCCGCCCTGTTCTTTCTCTCTGTTTTCAGCCATGTCGACTATTGTGTCTGAAAGCCCACGATCGGTGCCACAAAAGACAATGAACCCCCGAGTTCTCTGTTATTCGCACAAGAAGATCCGTACCGTCCAAGAGAAAGACTGAAGGCGAGGAACAAAACTTTTGTAGAAGGAGAAGAAGACCGAAGAACTCTGTGAAAAACATAGTGCCGAACTGAATCTGAAGTACAAAGTTTGTCATTTGCCGGTGCTGAATGATCGTCGCTGCCGCCACTGATCTCCAGAGGTCTTGGAACGCAGACCATGCACAGTAGAGAAATAAGGAAGGGAGAGGACCGAGGGGAAGAGAGCAGACGAAGATGGTGAAGTTTTTGAAACCAAACAAGGCCGTAATAATCTTACAGGGGCGTTACACCGGAAGGAAGGCCGTCATCATCCGTTCCTTCGACGAGGGCACCCGAGATCATCCGTACAGTCACTGCTTGGTCGCTGGGATCGCCAAGTACCCGAAGAAGGTCATTCGCAAGGACTCTACGAAGAAGACGGAGAAGAAGTCTCGAGTGAAAGCCTTTGTGAAGCTTGTGAATTACAGTCACATAATGCCCACTCGGTACACCCATGATGTCGATCTCAAGGACGTCGTTACCCTCGACACACTCCAATCTCGGGACTAGAAGGTTACTGTCGCCAAGGAGGTCAAGGCTCTGATACCATGTAAAACCAAAGCTTTTCTGGTATATTCTTTTCTGTTTCTTATTCATTGAGAATTCAAATATATATATACATGAATACAACCATCGAATCTCCTAAGCTTATGGCAACTAGAACTCCTAAGTTTACAGGGACTCAAACTTATCTTTCCTATCTTAACTGTACATGATTAGGAAAGGATAAGAAGAAGATACACAAAAGATATGAACGGAGACTCCCAATTCCACACTAAACGAAGACTCCTAATTCCGCATAATCCTAACACTCTTGAAAATTTTCATAGTTTGTATATTAGTTCTTGAAAAGTTCCAACATTTCAAAACCTCAAGCAACCCAGAAAAACTTAAAAAGGCATACCTTTCGTATGTACCTTGTCAAAAGTTTTCTAGTATCTAGGATTAGATAAAATGAATTTCAAATGGGTTCTTGAGCTAGAAAACTGAGCTAAGCGATCCTGGTGTTAAGTTTTAAAGACAAAGGATGAGGCTTGAGATTGACTTTAGGTATTTTGGGATTTCAAGCAAAACAGGTAGGTTACAGAAGTTGGGAAACTCTCTCCTCCTTCTCTCTTTTTCTTTCTCTAGGAACCTTTCTCAGGTTTCCTCCCTTCAGTCCCCCTTTTCAAGGTCGAGCTGGGCCTCTATTTATAGAGAAAATGGAGGGAAATGGGTCTAAAATTCACTCAGTTATAGTGTCTGTGACTCGACAGAGTTCTTTCACTAAAATAGGCAAAGATTTTGAGAGAGGATGGCATACAGTTGGCCCTTCCTTCTTTGTGTAACAATTTTTCTCAAGTTTGGAGGTCTTCGCATGGTTTTCATGTGTCCAATGAGGGACTGGGGCATGCTAGACGTTGCAGCCTCGTATTTGGGGCTGACAGTGGCAAAAAACGTAAATTTGATGAACTTATTAAAGGGTTTTGTCCTTTCTTAGTTTTAAGTGGAGGTTTGTATGGTATTTTGAGCTTTTTAAGCCTATTAGACTCAAATTCATTGGTCCAGGTGTTTTAATGGGGGTTAAATAAGGAGCTGACGTCAGTCCCCACCCTTTTTAAGATTCTATGTTGGATAACATATGTGGTAGTTCAATCTGCTGCATTAAAATGGTATCTCTAGTTTAACGGCTAAACGGTTGAATCTAGTTATGAAATTTGACGTACTAGGTTTTTTGAGTCTCTAAACATAGTGGTGAGGTCCGATTGGACAAATACAGTTGGGATGATTAAGATCTATGGCTGACAAGTTCGGATCAATGAGATTTTCTGAAATATAATCTTTGTTTGATGAATGGTCAAACGGAGGAATTTTAGAATGAAATTTGGTGGGTTGATACCTTTAAACATCCTGAATCTAATGGAAGTGATGGATCTTTGATCAGAACTGTAAGTTAACTGATTTATTTCAGATCATGGTCTTAGTTTATGGTTTTTCAATCAATGAAAGGGCTTGAAATGGAATCTAACTTTTTCAACGGTCAAATGAAGGTGTTTTGTCGTGAAATTTGACATGGTGGGGTTTTCTGGATCTATGAACACATTTGTGAGGTATGATTGGTCATACAAAGTTGGGACGATGGATGGAAAGCTCTAATTAATAAGATTTGCTTAAATAGGACCTAAGCTTAATGGGGGGGTCAAACGATGGAATTTTTTGCTACAATTTGGTAAGTAGGGATGGATTAGGATGAGGAGTCAAGTGGATTGTTCTGATCTTTGAAAGATATGGTCAATCTTGGCAATCATTCAGGGCCATGTGATCTTGATGTTTTTGAGGTTGATAATGACAAATTTATTGTGGGATTCACTAGTTGATTATTTCCTAGTGATATTTGGATGATGGATATGTTGGATTTGATTTTGGAGTTGGAATTTGAATATTGTATAGATCAAGGCCATTAGAAAGGAAGTTAGCATGATGAATGGTGGATCTTTGGAGTTTAGTCATGAAAATTGATATGTAACTAAGTTGTAGTTTTCCAAGTCTGGGGATGACATTCGATTGGATATCGATGTTGATCTCAAGGTTATTTTGTCTTATGAATTATGTTAAAGGAGGGAATTTTGGGTTTTAGAAAGTCTTAGGTTGACCTGGTTGTGTTTCTAAGTCTTTAGGGTCTAAGAGGTGGGTTAAGGGACTGGGCAAAAATTGGGTGCTAACAGTTGCCCCTCTTTGTTGGAGGTAGAAAGCTGTCGAACAACAATGGAAAAGAAGCACACAAAGATTTTTGTGAGGGCCAAGAGTTTAGAGGAGAAGATTTTGCTATTAGAATTTTAGTCAAGGTTGATGTTGATGTAGTGCAAAACCTTTGCTTGGAAGGTGTTGTAACATTCCAAGCCTTGGAAGGCAATTGCAACTATCAAACAAACACAAGAAAAACATAGTGGTGCCATCCCAAAAATAGATAGCATTAGTCAATGTTTGATTTTTTGATGCATGCATTGGTGATTGATGATTTGATATTTTTTTTTAATATGGGATGAAGCTTGTAAGTTTTTTTTTAATTATTATTTTTATGGATTTCAAATTTGTTATTTGCTGGATGCCTATAGGTTGGGTTTGATTTTTGAAGTTTGATTTTGTGATTTGATGAATGCTTATAAATTTTGATTTGAAAGATTGTTGATTTTTATGGATTTAGGTTTTTTTATAGTTAATGTTATTAAGTTCGAATTTGTTATTTGACAGAAGCTTTTAGGTTAAATTTGATGATTTGATGAGAGCCTATAAATTTTGATTTGATTTTTTACGGATTTTAGGTTTTTGATAATTGATGCTGAAGCTTGAATTTGCTATTTGTTTGATGCAATTTTACTAAGTTAACATGGATTTTGGTTTTTATATTTGAGTTTTCTATAGGTCTTGATTTTAATTTAGATATTTGATGGATTTTGGATTTTGTTTTGAATTTTCACGAGTCTTGATTTTTGAGATTAGTTATTTGATTTAAATGTTGGAATTATTGCGGGTTTTAGTTATTTGATTTAAACATTTGACGGACCTTGGCTTTTGATTTAAACTTTTAAGGGTTTGATTTTTGAAATTGGTTATTTGACTTGAATATTTGATTGTTTTTGACTTTTGATTTGAATTTTTATTGGTTTTGAGTTTTGAAATTGGTCATTGGATATTTGATGGATTTTGTCTTTTGATTTGAGTTTGGAAATTGATTTATGGATTTTTATTTTTGTCTTGAGTTTTTAATTCTTGAAAATATTTGATGGATTTTGATTTTTGTTTTGGGTTTTGATGGATTCTAATTTTTGTCTTTTGGTGGATTTTGATTTTTGTTTTAAGTTTTTATGGGTTTTGATTTTCGAAAATATTTGATGGATTTTGATTTTTGTTTTGGGTTTTTACACGTTTTGATTTTGAAAATATTTGATGGATTTTGATTTTTGTTTTGGAGCTTTACAGGTTTTGATTTTTTAAATCAATTATTTGGTTTTAATTTTTTTATTTGAGTATTTACAGGTTTTGATTTTTGAAAATATTTGGTGGAAGTTTAATATGGATTTTGATTTTGATTTTTGGTTTTTTACGGGTTTTCATTTTTTATGTTTGATGTTGAAATCATTTTAGAAAACCATTTTGAAAACTTGACAAAGGTTCTGTGATTGCTATAGCGCGTGTTGTCATTCTGAGAGATAATAAGATCCCTTCAGATAGGAGCTACTTGTGCATTAAAACTTCGATAATTCGAGCGATGAAAACTGTGGTGCAAAGTGTATGATGTTAAAGTAAGACTAATGCCCCTAGTAACAGTTTAGATTTTATAAGGGTGGTTTGAGGATAAGGTGGTTTGGTCACAACTTATCAAGCTTTTTATGCTTCTAGAAATACTACCACGCATCAGGGGCAAAAGATTTTTAAGCTCTACAGTTGTGTTTTAGGAATGCTCTGAATGTTTTTTTTTATACAAGTGATTTATCTTAAGGTAGCTTACAAAATATATTTTTTGGATTATGTCAAGTGAGTGACTCCAAAAATGTGATAGATTTTGATGGATTTCGATGGGTATTTGGTTATGCCCGAAGGTAGATTACAAAAGTGAAAGATTTCAATGATTTTCAATGAGTATTTGACTATGCCTGAAGGCGGACCACACAAAGTGAGAAATATTTATGAATTTGGATGGGTATTTGATTATGCCCGAAGGCAGATCGCATAAAGCAAGAAATTTTGATGAATTTGGATGTGTATTCGATTATAACTGAAGGCAGTTCGCACAAAGTGAGAAATTTCAATGATTTTTATGGGTATTTGATTATGTTCAAAGGCAGATCACGCAAAGCAAGAGATTTCAATGATTTTCTATGCATATTTGATTATGCCTAAAGGCAGATCGCACAAAGTGAGAAATTTCGATAATTTTTATGGTATTTGATTATGCCCAAAGGCGGATCACACAAAGTGAGAGATTTCGAAGAATTTAAATGGGTATTTGATTATGCCCAAAGGCGGATCACCTAAAGCGAGAGATTTCGATGATTTTCAATGAGTATTTGATTTTGCCCGAAGGCGGATCACACAAAGGAAGAGATTTTGATGATTTTTTATGGGTATTTGATTATGCCCGAAGGCGGATTGCACAAAGTGAGAAATTTTGTTGATGTTTGATGGGTATTTGATTATGCCTGATGGTGGATCGTACAAAATGAGAGATTTCGATGATTTTCGTTGGGTATTTGATTATGCCTGAAGGTGGATCGCACAAAGCAAGAAATTTTGATGATTTTCGGTGGTATTTGATTATGCTGAAAGGCGGATCACACAAAGTGAGAGATTTCGATGAATTTGGATGGGCATTCGATTATGCTCGAAGGCGGATCGTATAAAGTGAGAAATTTTGATGATTTTCGATGGGTATACAATTGTGCCCAAAGGCGAACCACACAAAGCGAGAAATTTTGATGATTTTTTATGGGTATTCGATTATGCCGGCAGTTGATTTCAATCATTGGAAT